TGAACTCCGGAAAGTTATAAGAAAGACCGTCTTTTATGTCCAGTAAGGTTTGTCGGTCGTACACAAGGAGACACGTGCTAGTCGTGAAAAAATAAAGGAAAAGGAAAATTAAACACAAAAAACAGCTGTTGCTTGGGGGAGCTCGCGACGAGGCTGCAGCAAAACACCCTGCAGCTGTTTCACATTTTCTTGCAAAAGCTCGAGAGGTGGTTGTGTTTTGTGACGTGTCGGGTTTCAACCTGCAGCATCCAATAATCTAGAATCAATAATGATGTTCAGCTGCAGCTGTGTGAAGAGGAAAAGCAGAAGTGTTTCGTTGTTGGTGGATTTCACACCCATGTGTACTTCTGTGTTTGTGATGACATCATCCCCCCCACCCCCCACGGTCCTCACACACTTCCCCTTCCTGCCCCTCCCAGGGCAGAAAGCAGAAAGCAGAAGTTCAGCTTTTGGGAACATGAAACATGTTTCTGATGAATCGTCACTTTTAGTGTTTTCAGTTTAAACTCTGCTCCCTCTGCTGTTACCGATGGATCGACTGATCAGGTCTGAGTCTGTGACTTTGGAGCAGTTTAGTGAAGATGTCTCTGAAACTTGACGGTGGTTTCGGTTACAGATGTGACTCATTTAAGCCTCACGCTGCCTTCACGTCTGTATTGATAGCTGATTAATCACTCTGGCTGACAACCGCGTGTGATTCCCACGCGTGGTGGGCCTCCAAGTATTTGATTGACTCATTTCAGAGTGGAGCCACTGATACTCAGCCCTGCACTCTGATTGGCTGGTGAAACAGTCTGCAGCCAATCAGAAGTCGTGGGTTTGAATCCGCTGGCTGTTCTCAGCAGGTGCTCCGGTCCCCTCATACAGCTCTGTCTCATCTGTTTCTCAGAATAAGGAGAAGGAGCGCCTGAAAGAGAGGGAGAAGGAAGCGAGAGAGAGGGAGGCGCGCTCCAGTAATGGCCACCTGTTTACCTCACTGACAGTGTCCTCCACCACCCTCTGCTCCTCCTGCAACAGGAGCATCACGGCCAAAGAGGCGCTCAGCTGCCCAGGTAAGCACACCTAGGGATGGGTATTGATAAGATTTTCACGATTCCGATTCCATTTTCGATTCTGTTTAACGATTCTTTTT